TATTATTATTATTTTTTAATTATATTTCTCCTAGGTCGCAATTCCAGCGGCAGATTGGAACGATGTTTTCGACGCGACCAAAGAAGGACCCGCCTGTCCAGCGATACACGAACAGAATATAATGGAGGATTGTCTCCGTGTGAATATCTACACAACAAAAGTGAGTCTGATAATGCTCAATAGACATTCGCACTAAAAAAGAGTATGACTAATTGAACAATTATCTTGATCGCAGCTACCATCGGAGAACGATCCCGTGAAAAGACCCGTATTGGTATTCTTCCATCCTGGCGGTTTTTACCTATACTCGGGTAAAAGCTCTAATTTTGGACCTCAGTATCTACTAGACAAAAACATCGTTCTTGTCACCGTCAATTTTCGTCTCGGGACGCTAGGTAAAGTCCCCCGTGTTTTATTACTTTTCAGATACTTAATTCGAATATAAGCGATAAAATTCTGCTTAAGGCAGAATTTAAAGTTTGAAAGAAAACATAAAATTATATTTATGTCGGGATTTTATCGCTTGTGGTTCAAAGATAACACAACTTTTTTCTTTAAAAACCTATTTGTGCTTATCTGTATCAGGATTTTTGAGCACCGGTGATTCGAAGGCACCGGGTAATTTGGGTCTGAAGGATCAAGTCGTCGCGCTTCGATGGATCCAGAGGAACATAGCCGCCTTCGGCGGTGACCCCGACAGCGTCACTATATCCGGCTGCAGCGTAGGTGGATTGAGCGTGATGTTGCACATGGTCTCGCCGATGTCCAAGGGATTGTTCCATCGGGCGATCATGATGAGCGGCTCGATATCGATGAAAGAACCGTATGGACCGTACCCGACTGAACAGCTGCACTTGGCAAAGAAGCAAGCCGAATTACTAGACTGTCCCACCGACACCACTGGCTCTATGCTAATCTGTTTAAACTCCAAACCAGTGGAGAACTTCACAGACACCATGCCCAAGTTTTTTGTAAGAAAGATTACATATATAGGACAAGATTAATAAATAGGATTAGTAAATAAGATTAAGTAATTTTCCTACCAAACGATAGAAAATTAGAGAAACAAATATATAATGCCGTAAAAAATCAAGAACTAAAAAACGTAGAGATTTGTTTTATTAGATATAAAAAAAAGAAAGCCTAAGAAAAAAGTAATCTTTAGCATACTACGACATTCTAGGAGTGGTACGGTTATCCAATGTTAATTTGGACACCTGTAGTAGAACCTGATGAAGTTCACGGCATAGAAAGATTCTTGCCCGAACAGCCCGCTGAACTTTTTAAGAAGGGGAAATTCCACAAGGTTCCGCTGATCGCAGGAGTTACTAAAGACGAGTTTGGTGGTGTGGTCACTTGTAAGAATCTCTTGTATTTGTATTTTCTTGTCATTGCCATTCAATTCTCAAGTTATAAATAGTGGCTGAAATCACAGAAATTAATAAATATGTAGTAATAATAATATATTCCGTCGGTTATTTTTAGTTGTCACCAAGCAACACGAACTCGGGAATGATTCATACGTGGACGATTTGAACAATGACTGGTACAGACTCGCACCGATAAATTTCTTGTACGAGCGAGATACACCTCGGTCTAGACATATAAGTACCGAACTGCGCCGATTTTACTTTGACGACAAACCGATTGGTCCAGACACTTATGATGGTCTGGCACATGTACGTAAATTGTTAAGAAATTAAAATATGTTATGAAATAATAGCATGTTTGGGACAATATTAACTATTGTTAATATAGCAATATGAATAAAATTAATATAGTGATATGAATAAAATTAATCGCAATTAATTCATATATATATATAATTATGTTTTGTATTTCAGATCAACACCGATGCAATAGTTACATATCCAATGCATAGTTCTGTAAAATTAATCGCCGAAAACACCGACCAACCCATCTACTTTTATGTATCTTCTTATCAAGGACGATACAGTTTTGTCATGTGGAACGAAACCACACCATACGGTATTATTTTTATTCTTGTATTTTATTTTTTTATTCAAATTGCTTGATTCAAATTGTTCAGATTGCTTTATAGCACATCACGATTTGATCTTTACAACTTCTGCATAAATTATGTGTAACTAAATTTGTTATTTATTTTATTATTCAAGGCGTGGTGCATCATGACGATTTGCAATATTTGTTCTTTATGAAATTTAAATTTCCATTCTTCGAAAACGATGACCCGGAAATTCCTACAGTAGAACTTATGACAAGCATGTGGTCGAATTTTGTTCAAACTGGACAGCCAATATCTCCAGCTTTGGCTAAGAATGTTACATGGGAACCTTACTTACCAGAAAAAGACAACTATCTAGAAATCTCTGAGGAACCAAGAATGAAGACAGGACTTTATCCCGATAGAATGCAAAAATGGGACAGTTTGTTTCCTTTGAATTCGAAATAGAAATCGATATCTACAGCCAATTTCGTAATGTGCAATACATATACCTACTGACCTAGCTGATTAAGTCATTAAGTAAAAGTACATACATCAATCCTATTACTCAACAAATGCAAATACAGTTATATCATTATTTTATATTAAAAAAATTTCTTTTTTAATAAAATTTATTCCTGCAAAATTATATTTGCAAAATTATTTTTCAGTATAAAAAGTATTTATTAATAAAGTGTCGATACTTCATTATGAGCCAAGTTGTACTGGCAAGTTAAGTGAAATTATTATTAAAATATAAGTACAAAAGATCGTCACATATATAACAAATGATGAAAATTATATAAAAAATTACAAAAAAATTGCATTTAAATCTTCGGGTCTGATGATTGCAATCTTACCAGAGGCTCGCTTAATTCCCACAATTTCTTGCTTTTAGCAGGATCTTTTCACAGCATTCGATAACCCACGTTCCTAAAATATATTTAGAGTGTTTTAAGAAGAATTAAAGAAAGAGCATTTCTTCATTTTTCTTATAAAAAGAAATTATGAAAGAAGCTAATGCAATAAAGTATAATTGGATTTTATGTCATTTCCTGTAGTAAGATTTAATATATCTTTCCTGTAAGACTCCATTATATATATTCCTCATGATGAGGAAAGACGCATGATCTACAATATGCATCGATCAATATTCGACGTAATCGCGCCATTAGTTGTATTTTGAAAAATGTGTCAAAAGAAAAAAAACGATATAATGTTACGATCCGTGAACTGTTGGAGATAATTTTTACGAATCGTGAATTTATCGGCGCCTCGTGGAATAATCGCTAACTCTCGGTTCGTTTTGGTTCAAAATTCCATGCGCGATTACAAAACCGTGCGTGACCTCACGTACGGCTGATTGTGGGAATCTTGTACGATAGACTCAAGTTTCCCAGAAAGACAATTGCGATTCGCGCGCGCATCTTCCTCCTCGCGGTT